TTTTTTTTATTATTATTATAAAAAGGACATATGGCTTTGGCTACGGATGGTTTGCAAAAACTCTTACTTAATGTTTATTTGATTTTAACGTGCAATTAATTGGAGCTCGTGCTTGGAGTGAAATGCATTGTTTTCAGATGGAGTTTCAACAGACTGTGCTAGAGGAAATGAAACTTCGGGTCTTTTGGCAAAATCGCGTTTTTAACCAGTTTCTACCCAGTGAAACTCCAAAATGTGCAAGAAAACACTAGCTCTACTCATTTCTCCCTTCCACAAGGCATATTTATCTGTTCGGAAAATGTTTAGGAAGAAGTCCTTTGGCCCAGCAATTCTCTGCTGTTTATCAGACATTTTTTTGTAGGCATCCATGCAAATCTGTAAAAATAATTTTTTTAAAAATGTACTGTCGCTTTAAGGGACCAGCTCCTTCAATTGAAAGGAGTGGCACTTTTTTCCAGGGTCTTACAGAAATCTCAGACACAACCTGATTGTGTAGCAGAGAGTGGCCATTGCGCAAAAGCCCGAAGCCGTCTTCCAAATCGTGTTTGAAGCATGCACGATCTTAACAAATAAATATGTAGCTAAAAAGACTATGCCCTTACTACTTTGATGGGGGGGGACCCAAATTGAAGCTGCAGTCAATCATATTTTATGATATTTCTAATAATCACAAGTCCAAACTGGTCCTCCTTATATTATTATTAACTTTGTGGCGGCCAGACTCTTGGCACTCTTCAATTCAGGAAAGAAAACTATTTCCAGATGTTCTCGTGCCGTCTCTTCCCAGCTGCTATTTTTCAGGAAAGGGTAATTTTTATAATTGTTTCGCTAACGATTTTGATTTCTCCAAGCAGTAATACGAGAACGATATTGTGACTCGAGGACAGTATGGCTTAGGTCAAGGGTGTCAAACTCAAGGCCCGGGGCCCGGATCTGGCCCGCAGGGCGCTTAGATCTGGCCTGTGGGGCCACCCTGGAAACAGTAATCTGGCCCGCGGTGCCTCTGCCAGCGAAAACGGAGCTCGGGAGGGCCATACACGAGTCCTCCCGAGCTCCGTTTTCACTGGTTGCAGAAGGTTGTCGCAGCCAAAAAAGGAGCCCGGGAGCCCGTTTTCGCTGGCAAAGCACTTGGGCCACCATAGGTGCCCCCGACACAAGTGATGTCATGCTGGCCATGCCCACCATGGCACGCCCCGAGGTCAAACACAACCCTGATGCGGCCCTCAATGAAATTGAGTTTGACACCCCTGGCTTAGGTGTAAGGAAGGCTGAAATCTCCCAATAGCTTCATGAACCAATTACTGTATTTTTC